AGTATCAAGCAAAAAGAAGTCACATCAAATGCTTAAGAAATACATATGTATTAAGCACTGCCTACAAAACGTAAGTTTCCAGCTATACTCTGTCATGAAACAAATGCTCCTGCATTCCAAACATATTAGCATCTTATTTTAAAAATCAACTATCAAATCACAACTATTATAGGAAACAAACAAATGTGTATGTGTGAGTGCATTACCTTACCCGTTAGGAAAATTTCAATGGGCCTCTTCATGTACACTTACCATTCATTTTTCTCTGGGACTCTTCTATTAGTTTTTGGGTAGCTGGACACATTCTTCCAGGAATATAGAACAAATGGGGCTTTGTCTTAGTTCTTATATATTTAATTATCTTGGCATTATGCTCATTCCATTCTTCTTGCTAAAGAAAAGGTAAAAGGTCACGCTTTTGTACACATGAAAGATTACCTACCAATCTTAGAATTCCAACACTACTCACCAGCTGTGCAAGCTCAACCTTCTGTTCCAAAAGCCGCAGTTCTGTCTGTTTAGCACGCCTTTCTTCAAATAGTTCTCTCCTCTCATTTTCAACCTGCTTTCTCTCTTCTTCTGCCTGCACTTCAAGTTTTTGCTCAATTTCCTGGCGTCTTTTTTGCTAAAGATAAATAATGATCTTTACACATCCTGATTATGTGAAACATTAGTTTTACTAAGTTATCTACAAGCGTTTCACATTTGTAATTTAGGATACCAACTAATTCAAACAGAATTTGAGGCTGATTGCAATTTCTTTCAAATGGGGACTGGAGCTTTTTCACGTAAAAATCTAACTTTTAAAGCCATTAACCATAACAGTAACTTCCATTCCAACATAAAACTTTTAAGTAAGGTTTTTTCCTTAAATTAACCACACAAAAACAGCACTGTCTTTATAGGCTACCTTCAATTATTCTTTCTAAATCAAAAAATTTAACAGAAGTGATATCCTAATAACTAGTTATAACTTTCCACCTATTTTAAAAAACTACACGTACTATTCACACATTAAAATTCCTTTAAGCCTTTTATATTTTCTAATAAAATTAATACATAAAAGCAAAAATAAACATTTATTAATCTCCTATAACCGAATTATCTCCTTTTCCACTCTAGTTTTCCCGAGAAGCAGCAGCTTGGTGTTTAACTCCAGACACAATTTTGTGCCTTTAGCAAAATAAAAACTTCTAGAAAGACAACAGTCAAACTATGGAGGGCAGTAAACATTTATGCTTTTGCTTCTAGAGTGCTAAATATTGCCTCTGAGTGTGTAAATAAACTAGTTTTTAGTAATGATCAATGAGTTCAACTCCCTTGCTGAAGAAAAAGCACTGTGAGAAATGAAGCAGCTTGTCCCCAAGACCACAAAATGAGACTGTCAATAGAGCTAAGACCAGAGCTCAGGTTCTCCTGGGTCACAGACCAGGGTTCTTTACACTACAAAGATGTCCACTCAATTACTTCCAAAGACCTCAAAAAAAAACCACTTAACAATTTAACTCCAGAAAGTTATATAAGTTTTTCCTTGGATTCATTTTAGGCTTGCAATTACACCTTAAGAGAGCTTTTCGGCTCTTTTTAAAAACATGTTAGCAACTACTTTGATAACTTAAGAAAGCAAAGGAGAAACTGCATAAATACCCTTTCAGTAGCAACAGTAGATTCTTGCTTAAATTTCTGAAGAGTGCCCATCAACAAGCCAAATATTCGCCGGTTCCTAAAGAACAGAAAAAGAAAATTCAATTTCAACAGGATCTACTTCATTTAAACATGTGCCATTTCCTAAAAAGAAACATACTATAGGCACTTGGAAAATTGCTTAAATTTTCTTAAAATCGCATTATTTGGCAGGAGTTTTTTCCCCAAAAGTCACGAAAGATACCTTTGCTTTCCCTTTTCATCCATATTTTGATCCTGGATAAGATCTCTCCGGGTGCGTTCTTTGGAGGTAGCTACAACTGAAGACTGCAAAGCTGGCTGCAGGAGAAAAGGAAATCTCAGTAATTTAACAAGCATATGGGTGGTACTCTTTAAATGTAATAAAATGAAAATACTATATTCATCCTCTAAGTTCTTTTAATCTCAATTACCTTTTTAACATCATCATCCTCTGGGTCGCTTTCTTGGCGTGATTCTCTCCGTGTCCGACGCTCCCCGCCCAGCCTGTCATAGGAAAATAATTTAAATGACCGCTACAGAATCTGACTTAGGTGCCTACCAAGGGCAAATGACTACTTTTTCTAGGACTCATTTCCAGAAGCCTCATTCTATTAGTCTCCATCCCATTTTACTCTTTGCTCTAGTAGTGAAAAGATGAAACCTTCAGTGAGCTGTGTTCATTGCTCTTATGCATCTAGGATAACATACCTTTGAAATGTCAAAGTAGTTTTCTAGACTCCCCCTCCTGAAGGCAGGGACACAAGATTCCAGAGCACAAGACCACAGAACCCCTCATTGCTATCTTATTCCTTGCATACCATCTTGATGTACTGTAAATGCTAATTATTAACTATTCTATACCCTCCAAACTAAAAGTGTGTCTCCATTTTTTTAATCCAATTCTACAAATCTCCCCACTTTGCTTTCTCTTGCCGCCTTAATTTACCACCAATAAGTTTCATATAACCCTCCTTATGTCTTCTCCTTTGATTTGAATGTATAAAATAAGCTGCAAAACTGCCCTTCTCCAGAGCATTTTCTTAATCTGCTGAGATTTTGCTTCTGGGTATGTCCCCAAAATTTTGGTTCAAATGTTTATACAACTTTTCTGTATGTTGGACATTCTCTCTTTGACACAATATTTATTAAATACTTGTATGCTACCTCAGAAAATAGAGCATATAAGTGTGCCTTCAGAATCTTTTTTTCCAACATACCTACTGACTGCCCCTTCAAGGTCTCTCTGTTTGGCTGGGGGTCCTCCTCCACTATCTGAGAATCCACGCCTGCAATTAAAAATGTCCAACACAAAGCACTTGAAATTTAAGATAAACATTTCCATTTAGCAACAGGATTAGAAATTTTAACTATCCTTTCAATTAAACCAATTTAAATGAACATTAACTCCAAGATGCTTTTATACAGCACTTTTTAAAAACCAAAAAAAAAAAATTTAAGTTTACATAAAATTGGTCTAGTTATATTCTGTAATCTCTAGTTTTACATGTACATGAAGCTCCAAGTGTAACTACCCAGAAAACCATACAGTTAATCATAGCTTTAAATAAACACTTCTAACATTGGTCTACCACAAATTTTGTTTAAAACGATACATTAATTTAGTGTAAAAAGCACCAACAGTCCTAACATACTAATTAAGTCCAAAGGAAGTCTTACCTCAGCAATAAACTACCACGTCCTCTACCTCCACCAGGACCAGAAAGGGCCAGCAATCTGGCTTGGATGGGCCTACAAGATATTTACAAATCAGTACAAAAATCATGTGGATACATCTAATGGCACCAAATACGTTCACCAGCACGGTTCATCATAAAGAGAAAATAACCAGAAAAGTTCTAAACAGACGGATCAAATCCACGTGTTTGAAAATGGACAGGAAGTACTATTTGACTTCCTTGCTTTTTCAAGATCAATATCACAGAAATTGTACTTATCTCGATGCTCCTAGACATTAACAAGCTTGGAGCAGGTCCTAATTTCGCTAACCCCGAGGAAGCTGCACGTGGGCAAGAGCCTGGGGGAGACGGGGCGAACCATGTCCCGAGTGGGTCTCCGGGTCAGTGGCCCCCGGAGGGAGATGGGGCTTTGTGCTGCAGTTCCGGGCCTGCAGGGCCGAGGGCGGGAATCCGCAGTCCGGGCCTTCCCACAGGCCGGGAAGCCATCCCGCCGCACGCAGGCCCCGCTCTCCTTCCTCACGCACCTGAGCCCGGGGACCTATAGCGGGGCCTTGAAGACTCCCCCACCTCACCGAGGACCGGGTTCTGCCGCCGCCCCGGGAACAGGCCTCGATGTTCCAGCCTTCTGGGAGCTGGTCGCCCTCCCCACCTCCCATTCACCCCGGCTTGATGGCTGCCTCTGGAGCCGGCATTTCCCATCCGGCCTTTACCTCACGTCATTCGGATCCCGCCCGGTGAGCTTGCGAATATTCTCATCTACGTTCTTTAGGCTTTCTTTGGCCTTTTCCAGCTGCTCCTGTAAAGTTCTCACTGCGACCGCCATTTTCTCCCCGCAGCAGGTTTCGAGACTGCTCCACAGGCCGCGCCTGCCAGTGCCGCGCCGCCAGGCGCGAGGGGACTGACAGCGGGGTTCAGCCAATGACGATAGGCGTTGTTTTTCGGCCTCAACCACTCAGCAACCGGAAGGGGGAGAACCTACCGGCCTTTCTGACTCTGGGCCAATGAAAAGTCCGCTAGGCGGTCACCTCCCTCTCCAATTAGCTGTGTGTGGCTGGGCTCAGATTCTAGCGCAGAGTTGGGGCGGGTTTGTGAGTCCTCGCGTCCTCGGAGACGCGGGCTCGCGGGCCTGCTTCTCTGGCGAGCGATGTGGAGTCTTGCAGCGTTTTTAACCTGTGATATGACGTGCCTTACGTCGTTTTAACCACCTAATCACATCAGAGTAAGAAGGAGGCAAGTCTACCCCCCCCCCGTCCTGTAAAGAGGTTAGGATTGGGTGCGGCCGTTCTATTGGTGCGCATGCCCAGGAGTGTGTGTGTGGAGGTGCGGGCTTCCGTTGATGAGATTAAACCGAAATGAACAGAGGGAAGTAAGGAATGAAGAAACAGGAACAGTTATTAATCGTTATAGCTAACAGTTATTTTCTATGTGAAAATAACAGTGTGGTCTGTGCCATTGCCCAGGCAGAGTCTCCGCGTTGCAAACTCCGAGGAGACCTTGCTGTGCGGAAGGCCTGCCATGGTGTCCCGCGCGGTTCATCAGGGCCAAAGACTGCGAGGTCGTGGCGTCTGGGAAACTCCGTGAAGATTGTTGATGAGACCCTGTTAACTATATGTTGACAGTGCCGTGCACCATGTGCTGCTCAGACAGGGTGTGCTTGGCATTAAAGTGCAGATCATGTTTCCTTGGGACCCAAGCGCCAAAAGTGGCCCTAAGAAGCCCCTGCCTGACCGTGTGAGTATTGTGGAACCCCAAAATGAGATATTGCCCACCACCCCCATCTTGGAACAGAAAGGTGGCAATTCAGAGCCCCCTGCCATGCCACAGCATAACGGTCTCCTTGGCAGCTGGATCTGGAGTCTGGAAGATGCTCTAAAGACCTTTAATAAAATCTTTTTAAAAGATTTAAAAAAAACCCCACAACATTGTGTGAAACGCTTTTCATGCCTTATGCCTCTTAAACGCTTAAATAAAATTCCAGCTTTTACTGATAAGGAAATTGAGTCTGGGGATACAGCGACCGCCCTTGGGTCTTGCCAGCCTAGAATCACCGTCGGATCAGACCCTGTGCAAGGCTGTACTAGAAAAAAAGCAACGACGAGACCGACAAGCAGGCATTAGCCTCTACACCTGGCCTAGAGCTGGTTAGTTTAAAATCAGGTTAGGGGGTCAGTGCTATTGTTGGTTGTGTGTGTGAGAAAGAGTATTATCCAACTTCTGGTTCTGCTCTACCTGAACTGCCAACATGGGAACCAGTTTTATTCCAGAAATATATTTGCAAATTATAGCTCAGAAAGCATTTTTCACAGAAACAATGTTGTGAATAACCTTTGGATTCTTATTTTTCATCTGTCTGCCAGGCATCCTTGCACCAAGCATTAGCAGGCCAATTGTATTTAACTCAAGCTACCATTTTAATTCACCCAGCCATTTTTAAAAGCTCCTCCTGTGTATGAGCGGTAACCTAGGCTCTGAGCATAAAGCCTAGAAGAAGATAGCTGTGGTTCCAGTTTTCCTGGAGTTTATAAGCTCTTCAGGGAGCAAAGATCACTCATGTACTCATTCATTCAACAAATATTTGTTGAGTCCCTATTACTCGTATGTGTCAGGCACTATTTCAAGCACTTGGATATGTCAGTGTACAATAAAGATCTCTGCCTTCAAGGAGCTTGGGGCAGAGAATGTGGAGACAGACAAACATTACTATGTTATGCAGCATGTTAGTAAAAGAACAGAATATGCCACCCCAAACTGCCACTTTGGCATGTGTATTATTTTGAGCTGAAGGCAATCAAGACCCAGAAGACTCGACAAAAACTTTAGTTTCCCTTTAACTGCCTAAAATAATTTAGTTAGGGGGCCTGGTCCAGAAAGATATTACCAGAGATAACTTTTTATCTGAACGACCTGCATGGCAGGGCAAACATCTGCTCTTCTTGTGAATTGTCCTACTTCCCTTTGTAGCCCCAGGTCCCTATCTCATTCTTTAGCTCAGAATGGCAAATAAGCCTTAGTGGCCTGACTACCTTTGAGATCTCATATTTTCATGGGGTGCCCATATGCATAAAATTAAATTAAATTTTGTTAATTTAATTTATGTCAATTGTTAGACCAGCCAAAAACCTAGAAGGGTAGAAGGAAAACTTTTCCACTCCAACATTAGGAACAGAAGTGCTATTGAAAACAGAAAAAGTAAAGCTAGGTCAAAGGGATGAGCACTGATAATTATTTCATCCTGATTTGTGAGCATACGTAATCTCTATCCGTATTACAATCCTGTGTCATAGGCAGTGTATGAACCACCAAAGTATAACAGTGTTTCCATAACAGAATGCTTTTAGAGTTAATCACAAACAGGATCTAACCAAAAGCAGGCTTCCATAGGATTCAATACTAGGATCCTGGGCAATTTAACATAGTCTGCTTTATGAGGGAGAATCAGTGGGATGCTGTGTTCAACATTTAGTTGGTGCTCAATAAGTATTAGTTTCCCCACTATTCTCCAGAATATTCCATGAAACCCATTATTGTAGTTTGAGAAATCAATCTTACTAAGTTGTTCAGCTACTTCTTGACATCAATGGTGAACTTGGACTCCTGTTCCTTGATGGTGGTGAATGGAGAATGCAACTGGGACATGTTGCATTCTCTGACTTCATGTATGGGAAATTTTAGTGCTGGAAAAATTAAGATTATGGTTACAAAATTACACTAGTGTTTTCAAAGGCTTAGGTGGAAGTTTTATGCTTGATTTATAATGATAATCAAATAGACTGATTCAAACAAAACAAAAAAAGCTACCATAATTCCAATTGTGAAACATGATCATAAATTCCTGTGAAAGGATATAAAGGAGAGGTTAACAATTTGAGAAAACTCAATATGTTAATTTTGGGGAAGCAATGAGTTAGTTGGGGAAAAAAATCGGCTTTGTGAATTACTAAGCACTAATCACATGCTAAACAACAGGTTTAAGCCAAATTTGCCAAATTTAAGAGGTGCATATGATCTAAGATATGTATTTGCACCTCTGTAGGAGTTAAAGTTCCCATGTGTCATAGATTCATATGAACTCCATCCCAAAATGACATAACTTTTCTGAAGTTTATAGCACTTTTTTCATTCACCTAATCCTTTGATTAATTTGCATTTTCTGGTTCAAGAGTATCCTGTTCTTTGCTTACTCCATCTCCCTTGTCCCTTACACCCCACTCCCAGTAAACTTCTTGGTGGCCAAAATAGCTTTAAATCTTTCGGCATACCTAGGCTGAATCCAGGATAACTTCTCATATATATTTAAAATTTATAACCTTAAGATTTTAAAATTTATTCTCTGTACAGTTTTTCATATTGAGGAACATATGGCAGGAAGTGGAAGCTTTTGATGAAGTGAATAGACATTCTTTAAAGTTTAATTAACTTATAAGTAATTAACTCAGAGATGGCAGCAGGAGCTTCTTTTGTCTTATTTTAACAGCCTTTTTCTCCTACCCCAGTATCACAAAGGCGCCAAGCCGTTCCCCGCGGGGAGGAACTCTGGGATCATAGAGCTGGCGGAATGCCGGGGTAGAGGGAACCGGAAGTTGTTGTTTTCGCCCCCAGCCCAGAGGACAGATCGAGTCTCCGTGGGTTCGGTTTGGTTCCCGCAGCTGTCAGACTTTCTCGTTCGGCCCGAGGGCTTGGTGGCCCTGGGGTGGACTTGCCCTGGTACCGGGCTCACTCCAGTACCAGCCTTCCGGAAGCGGAGTGACTTCCACGGTCTCCTAGCAACGAAGGACGGGGCTGCAGACTGAGGGAGCGGCTGTGCAGTCCGAATCGCCCAGGCGCTAGCCGGAACCCCCGAGCCCGGCCCAAACCAGAGCTTGGAAGAATAAGCAGGAAATGGCGGACGAGGCGTTGTTTTTGCTTCTCCATAACGAGATGGTGTCTGGAGTGTACAAGTCGGCGGAGCAGGGGGAGGTGGTGAGTGCTGCCAACACGTCCTTGAAGTCCTTTTGCGGTGACACTGTTTCCCCTCAGTTCTTTTCTTCAACCCCTGTCCCGTCGCCACCCCACTCCTCCCGTGGTGTAGAGAAGCTGTCCTACCTGCAGGTACCCTAAGCCCTCGAACCTGTCAGCTGTCCTCGGTTTTGTATCCTCTTCTCTCTCGCATCTTCTACTATTTGGTACTTTTTTGGCCACTCCCATACTTGGGTCCTGCAGGCCGCAGGTTTTCTTACTTTTAGTGTTGTCTCTACCATGATTAAAGGCAGGGTTAACTGCACAGCTGATTTGGGCACCCCTACTTAGTTCTGCCACTTCCGGCACTTCTGAGCTTGCCCCCTACACAGACCCGTCCAGCCTGAGAATCCTCACCCTCCCTCCTTATCCCTAACCCTCAGTACCACACCACAAAACTTGAAGACAGAAGCCTAATGACATTTGAGGTCAAAGCAAAGGAAAGTTGCAGGTATTACTATACTTAGGAAACAAATTAATTAAAAAATTTTAATTTAATGCCCATTATATGTCAGAGCTAGCTCTAGATGCCCGGGATATAGTATATAATAATGAAGGAAACAATGACCCAATCCTCTCGGAGGTTACTTCTGATATGTGGGAGTCTTCATTCACTCATTATTTAGCGTGTATTGTGGGCCTGACACTGTGCTAGGTGAATAAAGTAAAACCCCTGCCTCACATTCCTTGGATAGTAGGGGTTCAATGAATAAGTAAGGTATGAGGTGGTAATTAGGTATAGAATCATGGAGTTGTAACAAATTTTATAAATCAGATATTCTAAAGTCATGTTCAAGTCAGAAACCCTTTCTATAATGCTGTTGGTAAAGAGAGGTGAAACATGGGGGTAGGAAAAGCATCCTAGGCAAAGATAAAGGACAGGTATGAAAAAGTGCGATGTACTTAAATATGCTTAAGCACTTCACTGTAACTAGATGCAGTGGGTGGACAGTGAGAAGTATAGAGAGCTAAAGCCAGAATGAGCCTTTTATGATTTGGACCTTCTCAGTGGAGGATTTTAAGGATTTTTAAGAAGGGGAATGGCATGGCCCATTTGCATTTTAGAAAGAGAGGCTGGGTTGGAGAGGGAAGATTCTTGCAGTTAGAAGATCTGTTATTGTAGAAGTCCAGACAGAAGGTGATGAAGATCTGAATTAAGCAGGGATAGAGAAGAAGAGGAGGGAACAGGTTTGAGAGATAGGAGATAGAATCTCTAGGACTTGGTTAGGGATAGAAGTGAGAGTTGAGAATTATCTCCAGGTTTTTAGCTTGAGCAGCTGGGTTGGGTGGAAGGAATAAAGGAGAAGAAAGAGATGAGGCTAATGGATTATTTTTGGACAGTCTGAAATTTTGAGATACCTGTAGGACATCCAGGAAGAGGTTCTGCCAGTTTGTAAACTACAAGAAGGATAGTCTCTTTTTTTTTTTTTTTAAGCTGAGCCATCCTGCCACCTTTTGGCAGCTCAGCGGCTGCTCAGCTTGGGCTGGGAATCGAACCGCTGTTACTCAGAGCTCAAACTCTTGAGTGAGCTCTTAACCAACTGAGCCACTCAGCCGGCCCAAGAAAGGTAGTCTCTTAATAGGTTCTGGCTGCTATAACAAAATACCATAGACCGAGTGGCGTATAAACAAGATATTTATTTCTCACAGTTCTGAAGGCTGGGAAGTCCATGATGAAAGTGTCTGGTGAAGGCTTGCTCCTGGTTCATAGATGGATGTCTTTCGGCTGTGTCCTCCCATGACAGAAGGGGGCTAGCTAGCACTCTGGGGTCTCTTTTTTAAGGGTACTAATCTCATTCTCGAGGGCTCCATCCCTCATGACAAAATCACCTCCCAAGGGCCCCACCTCCTAATATCATCACATTGGGGATTAGGATTTCAATGTATGAATTTTGGGGGAACACAACCATTCAGTCTATGGCATGCAGATGTGATGCATTTGGAGCTATCATTAGGCAGACATCAGGAAGAGTATTGGAAATGAAGCAAATTCTATTCTTGAAACACATCTGTAATCAAGATTTTGTTTTCAAGTTACAAGATTTCGACTTTATCATGATCAACAACCAATACTTATTAATGTTTAGCATCTGTGCTAAGTGCGGAGTAGCAGGCGTTTGCTGTTTGTGCAAAGCTAGCCTTCTTTTTCCCCAAAGAATAATTAGCAACACACCCCTTTTACTCTTTATCATAAAATCCCTGCTGCCCCAACCCCCAATGAGTACAATCAGCTCTCTTCATTTTCTCTACTTTCTTTCCCTTTTCCAACCTTTGCCCAGGAAAATTATCTTTTTTAAGAAAATCCCTCTTTTATCCCAATGGATTAACCCGAAATTAAAAGAGCTGTTGTAATCATGACTGAAATTTTAACAGGTGTGCTAGAGAAAGAAAATCCATAAGTTTTGAATAATTTAAAAATAACTTTCTTTTCTATTGCAGTTTGTTTATTGTGGGGAAAAAATATAAAGTGCATATAAACAAAAGTGATTTTTAAAAAGTTATGTGGCAATCTTGATTAGAATCCAGAGGGTTCATTGTGTTAGTGTCTCTACTTTGAGTGTATTTCAAATTTTTCATAATAAAAAACATGAAAGACACATAATCCTGTCATCCAGAAATGGTTTTTATATATATTTTTGACATAAAGTCATAAGTTTTGAAATGAAATAAAGAACCAGTGTTCTTACCCTCCAAATAAATGATTTTCAAACTATGCTTAAAGAGGAATAAAAACTGAACAACTGAGTATTTGCCAATTTATAGAGAATAGATTTTTTTTTTTAGAAAAGTTAATGGATAATATATTTTCGAGTTTAATTTTTCTTAAAAATTGATACCTTCTAGTGAGCACTCACAGATGCCAAAGTGAATGAATAAGTAGTAACATCAGAAGGTATATTTACCAGGGATTAATTCAAAAGCTCATGTGATTTTAGTTAGGATTTGAGAATGTCTGCAATATTTAAGCACATTTCCTGCTAATATGTTCCTGGGTGATTCTACAAAGAGCAGATTGTTCTACAAAGAACATCATGACTTACAGGTACTCATGCCACCTGATCATGTTTGGGAATGAGTGTGGAGAGTAACGGAAAAATCAAGGATAGTGATATGTACAATAACAGATGTATGTGCAGAGTGTTAATGATGGCACAGGGCCCAAAGGAGCACCAGGAAAGGTTTCTGGGAGGATGTGATACTAGAGCTGCTTTGAAAGGATATGCAGTTTAGGGGACAGCACGTGCAAAGGCATGCAGGCAGAAGAAAGCATGGCACTCGAGGTGCTGCAGCAGTTTCAGCGTGGTAGAAGGAAGGGCGTTTGTATGTGGCTGTTAGAGAATCTGGTTAACTAGCTATGTATCATTTAAGGAAAGGCACATAATACCATGCTGATGAGTTTGGACTTTATTTTGAAGAAAGGGGAGGGAGTGCTGGAAGGTCCAGCAGAGAAATAACATGATTTGATTTTTAGAAAGTCTATACCAGAAATACAGATAACAAGTCAAGGGAAGAAAACACTTGAGACAAGATCAGTTGGAAGGCTCTGACTGAAAACCAGGAGAGAAATGGTAAGGCTAACTTAAGCAGTAAGAGCAGAGAGAGATGTATAATACTTTGGAAAGCATGTAGGCGATAGGTAGGCTCCACAGGACTGGACTGCAGTGCGTGGAGAGCTTCGGAACAAAGAGGTGAAGAAAATGAGTTTTCTGCTTGGAATAACTAGGTGGATGGTGGTGCCATTAATGAAGTTAGGGAATTCTGGTGGTAGAGCAGGCTGAGGACATTACGATGATGAATGTCATTTTGAATATGAGGGGACTGTGGGACCTCTAGCAACATGGCTGTGTCCAATAAAGTCTGCCCCATAAGTGGAGTACATGGTTCCTTAGAAGAAAGGTCAGCAAATAATGAGGCCGATGGTGTACTTCTTAGTAGGAGACAAACAGGCTTCAGAATATATAAAAACCCCTGCCTCTTGGAGCTGTATGCTAGCAGCGGGTGGGGGATGGAGGGACATAGCAGTATAAAATTAGTAAAATGGGTAGTACGTTAAATGGTGAAAGAAGTTCTTTGGAGACAACTTAAGCAGGGAAGTGGGAAGGGCATCAGAATCACTTTTAGGGGTCTTCTTAAAACACAGATTACTGATCCTACACCCACAATTTCTGATTCAGTAAATTGAGGGTGGACTTACAGAAATCACCATTTTTCCAGGTTCCTATGTGATGCCAATGTTGCTGGTCTTGGGACCCATTTTGAAAATCACTAGGATAGAGTTGCTGAAGGGGAATGATACTGCAATTTTAGAGACGATGGTTAAAATGGGTCTCATTTGAGATGGTGACATGTGAGCGAAGACTTAAAGTGAGGGAGTTGGTCTTGTGAATATCTGGAGGAAGAGCTGCCTGTGCAAGAGCCCCAAGATAAGAGCATGTCTGGCCTGTTTAAGGACAGCAAGGAGACTAGTGCAGCTGGAGCAGAGTCAGTGAAGAAGAGCAGCAGGGTGAGGTTCACGAGGAACGGGTCTAGATTGTATAGGACTTCGTAGGCCATCCAGAGGATTTGGGGAGTCTTCAGCATAGGGGTGGTATTTAAAGCCTTAAGACTGGATGAAATTTTCAAAGGAAGAGCAAAGCAATGGCATGATTCCCAGCATATGATGGTGGGGTCATCAGCTTAGACACACTGAGAACTAGAAAGCCTTGGATGACTCTAAGAGACGGCTTGAAGCAAGGAACAATAGAACTTAGTGACAGCACAAAGGGAATGACTGACAGAAAAAAGTCAAAGGTGATACCAAGTTTTATAACTGAGGAGAGAAGTGGAATCGTTGAACATGTAAAAAAAAGTGGGTAGAGAGTAATTAGGAAGAGACTGGCGTTTCCTAAAAGTAGTAAGCAACAATTCCCTATTTATTGTATTGCCTTATGAAAATGATCAGTACTAAGAAAACGCAAGTATGACTTATATAATTCACTGTTTCTTACAATGTTTCAGTGAAAAAAGTATGAATATTTACATTAATATTTTTATCCAACATTTAAAAATAATTTTGAATACCAACATTCTGGCATTCTAAAAGTATTCAATGCTACTATTTTTTAAAACAGGAAAATGGACGCTGTATTACTAAGCTGGAAAACATGGGGTTTCGAGTGGGACAAGGACTGATAGAAAGGTGAGCAGTATGGATTTGAAAATTTTCTTCCAGGTAGGTTATGAACAAAGATGATCATTTCAAAAGATTGCATAAAACTTGTGTTACTTCAGTAATTTTAATTCCCAAATTTTATTCTGTTTAATTCGGATTTTAATTTCTTTTTAGGTTTGATATTATTTTAATTCAGTTATTCAACTTTTATGTTTTAATATTCACAGAAAAAAATATTTTATATGTTTTAGGCTTTTGCTTCCTGAAAACTGGTATACTGAAACAACTATCTAAAATCTTATTGCATTTCCTACTTAAGGTCCATAGATACTTTAACCTAAATGTAATTTTGTTTAAATGCATAGGAATGGAAATGACTTAGAGTCTATGTTTATGCATGCAATAATCTTCCAATTTATAGAACAATTCTATTTAGTATTTTTTTTCACTATCTGAATATTTGAACTTTATGACTTATATAACAATAACATGATCATCCTTTAGTTTTTTTTTGTTTGTTTTTTGATGTGCTAGAATAAATTGTACCTAAAATTGCAGCTTACTGTTAGACTAAATTTAGTCCCATAATTGTATAACAGAATGTGAATCTATTGAGGTAGGCTCTACTTTGCTTGATGCTGATCACTTTAAGACTGTCAATATTCAGTGCTGTTCTGGCATTTGGAAATTAGTTAATAATTTGCCCCTCATACTTGCTTTGGAGGAAAAATACTGTATTACTTCTAGTTGATTTTTTTAGGTTTACAAAAGATACTGCAAGGTTCAAGGACGAGTTAGATATCATGAAGTTCATTTGTAAAGATTTCTGGACTACAGTGTTCAAGAAACAAATCGACAATCTAAGGACAAATCATCAGGTATTTAGAAAAATTAAGGCCTATTTTTTAAGTCCTTTAACTTAATATAAATGTACTAGTTTAGTGATTTACTTATTTAAAACTTAAAATACTTTCTAGTCAACTTTGGAATGTTTCTCTTACATGTTATTAGTAAGTCATTACTTTATTTCTCTAATAGGATATAGTGAATAAAGACAAAGGGACAATTAGTAATGATAGCTGTTTCTTTCCTCTAATTTAATAAGTTTTAAAAAATAGCAAATGTTAGACTGATAAAGGTTTTAGGATTTGGTTCCTTGGTTATTATTCCTTAGTGGTGATAATATGCAGAACCACAGATATATCACATTTAGGTCTTTAGAGTAATTACTGAAGTCTATTTTATACAGCATATTTAACTCTTAAATAACTCTTGCATTGTTTTGTTGCTGTCATATTTTCTATTATTAAAATATTAATATAGAAATGAATAGATTGCATGGAAAATTATACATTTAAATAGATTTATTCTATAAAACTGAAGGAAATATTTAGAGTGGATTTGGCCTTTTGATTAAGTATAAAAAAATGAAAAGAATGTATCTAGTAGCTACCCATTAAATTCATTTTTTCATGTAACAATAGCAGCCTTACTTTGGAAGTACTTGAAATGCTAACAGGAAGACATGACTCTGATTATTGGCTTTCTAGATATGATATAGAGATATATGATAATAATATATAACTGCTAATTTCACCTGGGCAAGTATTTCTGATTCCTTTGCCCTAGACTGTGAGGTAAGGATAGGGACTATGTCTTAGGCATCTTTGTATCTTCAGTATCTAAAAGCATTCAATAAATATTAGTGTTATAAATTGTTGAATAGTTGATCAGCTTGAACATTGCAAAACTTCTTCATTTAAAGAAAATTTGACCAATGGAAAGGAGTTTTAATAACTTAAAAACTCTTAAATTGTTTTGAAGAGAAAATTTTTAAAGATTGCAGACTACTACATTGACTTTGGTTTTTTTATCTATTTTTGGAACAGGGCATCTATGTACTTCAAGACAACAAATTTCGTTTGCTTACTCAGATGTCTGCAGGAAAACAGTATTTAGAACATGCATCTAAGGTATTTAATGGAATAGAAGATTGAGGTTTTTTATTATGAAGAGTAGAACCATAGGGAAAAGTACAGTGCCAGTCACAACAGAATTTTGAATATCAAATAGGTTTTACAGTTGTTCTTTTTTGTTTAAACACTTTTCTATGAAAGAGGAGACAGATGTTCATCATATTAAAATACCATTAAACTGTAGCTAAATAGGCTTGTGATGACCAATTAAAGAAACACTAAATGACAATGAAATATAGATTAATGGTAGATTTTTGAATATAGCGTATGTCAGAAAACATACTCAAGCTTATAAAATTCGTATTGCCTGTTCAAAATCATTGACCTCAGAGTTTATATTTACCATCTCCTTTAGTAGATTAAAAAAATTGTTTTAAACATAGTTAATATTTGTTTCTAAGAATACATGTTTTGTGTTAAGTATACCTGTATTTCTGGGTTTTGTGTAGTTTTTGTTTTTCAATCTCATGTAGGAATCAATTAAGTAGACAGATGTACTAAAGAAAGATGACAAGTTTTAATGTAAGGATTCCTTTGAAGTGATTAAAATATCTGGGGCAGAAGTTGCTATTTATCCGTAAAAATATGTCCATACCTAAATTACCTAACACAAAGACAGTGTAGGTATCGTGGAAAGAACATGGACTTGGGACCAACTCAATCTAGGGTTTTTTGGTTTTTTTTAAATATTTTTATTGGGGAATTGGGGGATGGGAACAGCGTTGGGGAATTGGGGAAAGGGGAACAGACAAGTTGCTGTCCTTTTGTTCTTCAGTCTAGTTGTGGAGGACGTTGCTTCACTGGCCCAAGTTGGCACTCATTGCGCTCTTCCCAGGCGAGGCAGATCAGTCGCCGGCTTCTGGATGGCCACCTACGCTGGCTGCTGGCTACACACAGTAGCCCATGGCAACCCAATGCAGCAGGGGCTGCAGCCTATGCTGTCGCCGGCGACTCACGGCAGCCCAGCTCCAGGTCGAGCTGTTGTTCAGCATCTTAGCTGTGGAGGAAAATGTCACTGGCCCTCATATGTGGGATCCGAACCGGGGCCCTCTGGTGTCCCAAGTCAGCTCTTAACCAGCGCGCCACTAGGCCTGCCCTCAATATAGGTTTAAGCTAAGCTCCACAACTTAACAGGTTTATTACATTGGGTAAGTTGCCTAACCCCTCTGTACCTTAGTTTCTCCATTAATAAAACTGGTTATAATATTCCCTATATTATAAACAATCTCTAAGGTCTCTTCCAGCTCAGAATTTCGACTCCAGATCTAATTGCTTATCAGTACCCATTTATGTATATTAGTTAAAAATTTAGAATATTCTGTATTATTCATAGATACGTAGTATTGTTGAATATCATACAATACAAAAAATGTAGAGAATCAAAAATTCCTTGGATTATTGTTTTTTTAGTTCCCATTCTTGACCTGGCTTTCTCTGCTGTAGCTCAGTCCCTTTTCCTTTCCTATGAAAGGGTTTCTCTCAGTGTCGGCACTATTGATATTTTGAACTGAATAATTTTTTGTTGTGGCGGGCTGTAAGTCTTGAACAAATCAAGATTCTTGGTTGTAGAAAGCAGAAATCAACTCTGATTTAACGGAATATAGTTTACGGAATCAGTGGGAAGGCTCAGAAAACAGGCAAGAATCCTGGGAGGTTAGACCAGCGAGAAAAAGCCCAACACTCCACAGGGAGGGTCTGGTTAGAATTCTTCAGGCAGCACTGATGTTAGACACAAGCCACCTTTGCTGCCTCTAAATGAATTCTAACCTGTTTCCAGCTTGGTTTTGTCACTCTAGATTCGGAGTCCTGGACTGGAACACACAGTTGGCAGAGTCATGTGTCCGTGTTTTAGTTTCCAGGGAGCTGGGAAATCTAACAATCAGAATTTTCAGTAATTTGAAAAGTTCTTCCACAATCCTTTCTTTAAACAGCAGTAAGTTAATAATAGTAAGGCTTAACTAAATGTTATATTTGTCCATAACTTTACTATCTTAGTAAATCTTAAATATTTTTTACATTTTTCTGTTCCTTTTAGTATTTAGCATTTACATGTGGCTTAATCAGAGGTGGCTTATCAAACTTGGGGATAAAAAGTATTGTAACAGCTGAAGTGTCTTCAATGCCTGCCTGTAAGTTGAATTCACATTTTTAGTGATTATTTTTCAGGTCTGGTATTTTTTGGGGAAATTTAAAATGCTAAATCCATTTCATTTTACTTTGATGAATTTTAACAGTGTAGTAATATGTAGCATACTTATATTCATATTCAGTGATTTTTTAATTCATAATGACAATGATTTAAGAAAATGTGCTAAAGAAATCCAAATTTATAAGACAAGGGATAATAAACATTTAAAGGAAAATTTTCTCTACTATTTTAAGATAGCAAATTTCCCTATAGCATTGAAAAATATTTTTTAAAGTTTTCTAAAATATATAAAGCTAGATAAAGCCAACTGGTCTTTTATTACTAAATTCCTTCAGAAACATCTTTTCACCAGAGCTAGCAACCAAGAATAAAATTGACTTGAGCTTCACTGTATTTCCTTTCTATTCACAATAATTAGCAGTGAAATACCCAAAGGTAGGAACAACAAAGAGAAACAGAGGCACCTATTCACGAATCAGATAATCATCTCCTAAAAATGGAATTGACTTTGTTGAACATTATGAAAAGTTGTTTGACATAGCAAGTTTCTTGGTTTGAAACCACATCCTAAATAGAGCAGAAAACTGATGTTTAAGATTGTTTTCCTTGTATCTAAAATCAAAATGATTTTTCTTTTTCTTTTTTTAGGTAAGTTTCAGGTGATGATACAGAAGCTATAGAACATACTGAAATGCAAAGCTTCAACAGTGTAAAGAGTTAAATTATTCATGTATAAAGTACTTCATGTAGCAATGATTACATTGTTGGACATTTGTGTTGATATAAGCTATTTGCACTTAACCAGGAATAAGGTAGTATTTTATCAATTGAACACAGATCAAGTTAAAGCAGATAGAGACATTCTACCAGAACATACACTTTACTGAAACTATTCAGAATGGAAAAAACCTGATGTTAAATGAACACCACGATGTAGGACCCTTATTTTAAACATTTTTATTTGCTTAGAGCGATGGGTATTTAACCACAGATGGAGAAGCAAAACTCAGGGTTTGATAAATTAGCGTAAGGAAAAGTATGCACCAATCAGAATCATTTGTGTAACAATGAACAAATTTTGATTATGTGAATTTGTTTGTTATTAAAAAAAGCAAACAGCATACTAAGTTAGACTTAATTTTTATTTTATTGCTTATAAGTTATCTCTATTAAGAATTTTTATGCCTATGTAAGGATTTCATTATATACATTGTGTGTGTGTGTGTGTGTGTGTGTGTGTGTGAGATGTCATATCTGACTGCCTAAATTGCTAAAAAAAAAACTTAATTTCACTTTAATAGAATTCAGTCTTTGAGAGCTCCCATTAATGTAATAAAAGTAAAATATAGATTAGTTTAAATGTGAATTCAGTGACTCCAGGGCCAAAGAATATTAGATATTTTAGGAAGGAAGTTTTATGCTTAACTCCTGTTGCACTCGCAACTTTTCTCCGTGTGTGGAGATGCCAGTGAAGTTTCTAACTTCTGTATCTTTATTCCCTTATTTACTTTTCCCTACTCTAGAATAGAGTTGATTCAGTATCTGGTGAAGGTATGCTTCCTAGTACCCAGAGGGATGTCTTTTAACTGTAACCTCACTTGGTGTTAAGGGGATTGGCCAACTCTCTGGGAACTTTTTTATTAGAGCACTAATCCCACTCAAGAGGGCTTTGCCCTCATGGCATAATAATCACTTCCTGTGATAATTATTATCACCTTGGGGGTTAAGATTTGAACATATACATTTCGAGGGGAACACAGATATTCAGTCATAGCAAAATTGACATGTAGTGACCAAGGGAAAGCAGAATCCTATAGCCAGGATTACCTGGTGAATTCTTTCCCAGTCAGTCCCACCAAAATATAGCTACAGGATAGGAGTTAAACTCAGGCATCTGACTGCATAAATTGGGATCAGCACAAATTTGGGGGTAATAGTTAAGAAAGAAAGTAAGAACCTACAAGTTTTCAAAATGTTCTTTGAAAAATGAGAACTATGATCAAATACATTTTGGAAATCCATCCTCTTTTATAGACTTTTAATGTATATTAATGGCATGCTGCACATTCTGAAAAAATAAAACAATTTTATTTAACTTAGTATTTTATCACAGTAGCATTCTTCAAGCAACACAGCTGAAATCAACATTCTAGAGCAATTTGGGAAACTTTATTTTTAAAAGTTTGTTGGGACTTGGTAACATGTGCAGCAAAATATAATTGTGGTATGGACACAGGTCAAATTGACCTTTCTATAATTTCTAGAACATTTTTCTCTTTGACCCCAAGTGGTAGAACTAATAATCTGAATCAATTTTAATATAATTCAGCTTCTACTTGGTTTATTCTAAGAGACACAGATGAAATAATCTTATTTTAAAAAATTAATGGAAATGAATACATTTTTAATAAAAGTACTGTCACAAGTTAGTAACTGTATAATCCTGACCAAAAGAAGTAATTGTATCTTTTATGTGAAAAAAAAATACAGGTGCAATCTAATTTACTTTGTCACTGTCCCTTAGATCTGATTAAACTACCACTTGGTAGCTATTATTTTCAAAATAACTACTTCTAAATTATTTTATTTAAAATATATAATTTCTCAACAAACGTAAGGCTCTCTACCTGTGATTAAGAGTTGGGGAACTTTTTCTCTTCAATTTCCCATTAAAATCAGAAGATACTTTTAATTATGAACATCTTGATAAACACTACGACTATAATGGTTACCTACACACTTAATTTTTATTACATTAGTGGTTAAAATGTCATTTATTTGTGTCTACATTCCTGAAAAATGTCCGTATGCCAACTTAAGTCATAAAAATGGGTTCTCAGTTAACTATTAGAGATCCTCCAGCTTGCGAGACAATGAGGTGTGTCTATATTAAAATAATTTCTTATACCACTTGTCTTCTGCATATGCAAAATTCCCTTCTTTTTTATGCTATCCAGTCCTCAGAATTTTTTTTCTGTGAGAGTAGTATGCATAACTACATGTTCAGCCACTAGTTGTGGAAAAAATGTAAATAAAAACAATAATTGACACTATTAATAATCAGCCCCCAGCCCTGCCCTCCCATGCCATCATCAAATCAATAAAAAAAAATGTGAGGCTATAACACAGCTAGTTGTGGTATAGGTTGGAAGTCTAAACTCTTTGTAGTAGACACTGCTGACTGTCTATCCAATATCCACTCTTCCCCACTTTTCTAACATCTCCATTTTTGGTAGGAGTAGCAATATGCTCACCTAAAAAATTATTTCCAGCTTGCTTTATAATTAGAAAATGTCATAACTTGGGCAGATGATATGTAAGTTGAGGGTTTTTTGTAATGCTTTGCTCCCCTGATATAGACAAGGGTGGTGCTCTTTTATTCTTGGAATAGTAGATGTGAGGCAAGAGGCAAAGCAACCATATCACGACTAGAAAGATAAAAGCTACAGACTAAAATGGATAAAAGAGAAATATAGATGCAGTCCAGGACATTTACAATATTGTGAAGTTGCTACACCAGCCCTGAACTTCTTATACCAGAATTATCAGATGAGAAACAAAAATTTCTAATTTGTAAAACTCAGTTAAGTTTTCAAATGCAATATTAGCTGATAAGACTTTTATGAGTTGCAACCGTACTCTTGGGAACTTCTGACCAAAAAAAGGAAAAAGTTACGTACATGAAGATACTTATGGTAGCCTTTTCTATACTGGATTAACACTGAGATTATGTATCTAACAATGAGAGAATGTGTAAATTATGATAAAAACAACTTAGACTATTAAGCAGACATTTAAAAATCAGCTTTTTATGAAAAGATTCAAATTAAAATTTCATCTCCATTTATAACTAGTGGCAACATTGTTAGTTGCCTGATCCGCAGTTATTCCCAATCCCGTTTCCTTTTCAACTTCTATTAGAAAGCCTGGAAAGGCTTATTATAGTTTCATTTCCCAACCTTCCTTGGAGCTGGAGGTGATCATCTTATACACTGTGGCCAACAGGTAAACACACATCTGGGGATTTCTGGAGAAGGTGTTGCTTTTATGAGAAAAGGATCAGATGTGGAAGGCTCTGCTTCCTTCTGCCCTTTTCCTGTCTGAATATGGACACATTTCCTTGAACTCTAGTAGCCATCTTGTTACCATGAGGGAAAGGCCAAACGATCAGAGACCTTGGTATTGCAGAGTGACTGAACCAATGCCAGCAGCCAGCTCCTCCACATCTTGTTATGTGAGAAAATAAACCCCTATTTGAAGAACTACTGTTACTTGGATCTTCTGTACTTAAAAGTAGGAAACATCTGTACCTGATTATAAATTATAAGTGAAATGAACAAGATTTGACAGAAAAAGCAGTCAATCTATTAGGGTATTACTTGATTTGTTAAGAAAAGTTTTGTGCAATAAAGCATTTAAATAAAAGCATTAAGCTTAAAGGGAAAACGTTTGCTTAATTTTGTTGCTATGAACAGATTTGCCATTTAATCTAGATTATTTTAATTCCAATACTAAGAACCTTTCTCCATTGTCTTGTTCAAGAGTCAAACAAAATTTTAGTAACCAAAACATTTTCAATAAAATTTTATGTGTATTCATATAAAACAATGAAACAGCACCAAGGACATCTGTAAAATTTCATCATACAGTACTGCATGTGGTTATAGAAAAACTTTAAAACTTGTCATTAGAAACTAGGTGGAGTTTCTTCAAAGTATCAAAGATACTTCAGATATTCAAATCCACACAAGCTATCTTCTGCGTTGCACAGTTTAAGATGAAGACCCCTCTCATAATGTTGAAGATGTGATGCAATCTGTACTTGAATTGGCATTGTACTTCCTCAGACATAGGCTGCCTTCATCACAAGTATTTTCTATCCCTGAGAGATCAGCTATGTCAAGATGGTTCATCAGCTAAATCTCGTTGGTCAAAATACCTAGTAAAGAAATAATTGTATGCTTAAAAATATTAATTGCAGCACTAGTTCTAATGATAGCAAAAGACTGCAAACAACCCAAATACCCATCAATAAGGGGACTGGATGAATAAACTACAGTACATCTACACAGTGGAAGACTAAAGCTTTTACAAAAAAGGAATGAGGAGACCATCTACACTGCTGCAGTGCAATTTCCAGGATTTATTAAGAGAAAAAAGGTACAGAATGATGTTTATTATGCTACCTTTTATAAGCGTGTGTAGGAATGCAGATATATTTGCTTATACTTTTACAAAGAAACAATGGAAGGATAAACCAAAAATTAATAATAAAATGGATAACTATAGAAGGGAGAAAGAGGCTAGAGAGGATACAGGTGGATTCTAACATACTTCAAAAATGCATCTCGAATTAAAATGTTAACTTTGGAACAATGTAAAAATTTTATGTAATTATAAAACAAAAAAGAAAATCATGAATCAAACTACCAAATGAATCTTCCCATCTATCAAGTTGGTGGCAAGCCATACAGGAGAATAATTTCATGTGACCTTAAAACATGGTGTTCTGCTATATGTCCCCAGTGGGTTTTCCAGGAACAAAAAGAACTGCAAAGAATTCTTAGGTCGGCCCAGTGGCTCAGTTGGTTAAGAGTTAGCTTAAGAGTGCAAGCTCTGAGTAACAGGGCTGCTGGTGCGATTTCCACATGGGCCAGTGACAGCTGTGCCCGAGCTGAGATGCCACTGCGCTGCCAACAGGTGGCAGGATGGCTCAGCTGCTGAGAGCACAGGCTCCTAACAACAAGACTGCTTGTTCAATGGTGGGCTATGCCCGCCAACAACTCAAGATTGTAACACAGCACATTGAGCTTAGAGGCCACGAGCTGCCAACGGGCAGCCAGATGGCGACTGGCGCCCTCCACAGCTAAGATTGAAGAACAACAACTTGGCTGGTCTCCCGCCCCAATTCCCCAATTGAAAAAAAAAATTCTTAAAAATGATTTCAGTATTTTTACTGTTAGTGAAACTTAGTATTGTTATTCTGAAACTATTACGTGCATACTACAGGATAAAGCCAATAATCATGTCAATGTTATTAGAAACCAGAACTTTCAGTATAGGAGAGAAGAAATATACATTAAAGAAAAATGTACACTTAAATTAGAACTGAAATACCAATTTGAACTCAAGATTTTACTTTTCCTCATTCTAAAAATACATAGTTCCTAGCTCTGGTCCCTGAAAAGGCCTAAATGCATTGACCAACCTAATACAACCAGCTTCCCTAATGTCCAAATTTGTGGACTTATACCATTTTCTATTGGGTTGTCGGAAAAGTCATGACGCATTTTTGCAACAAAAAACAGAAAAAATACATCATGATTTTTCCGACAACCCAATACTTTAAAGAGGAACCAGCACGCCCAGGAGGAAAAGACTGATTTCAGATCCAGAGAGTCCAAGATAGGAATCATCTTGACATGCCAGAAAGTAAGAAAAACTACAAAGGGCCACTAGGATTATATAACAAAAAGCACAGGAATCAACCTGAGGGGCTCACACTGGCCAAAGATCGAAAATTTGAGCATCAAAAAGAATGACTGCAATGGATTAAAATATATCAAGTGTTAAAACACCTAAATTCAAAATGAGAATCCCAAACAAACCTTATTGGTCATCTTTGGGGATAGCTAGGCCACAACTCTATTCCAAAAATTAGTAGTATATAAAGGGAAAAGAATCTAGTATATTTAATCTAACCAAATAATACAAGGGAAGTTATGTTTTCCAAAAAAAATTTAGCTATAAATAAATAGGGAATGATAGAAAAACCAGCATTTTTGAATCTTAATGAAATAATGGATCTATGCAACAATTATGAATGGCTGACAAAACCAAGAGGTAAAAGGTATGGACTTTACCTGAGCGCACTGATCAACTTTATCCTTTATCACCACTAGAAGTGGGACAACTAGACATTATGTGCCTCCCTAAGTGACATAATAGAACTCATGGAGTCTTGTCAAACCAACCAAACAAAACTAGAATTAAGCCTCTGGACCTACCTACCTCAATTTCCTCTAGTGTAAAAAGGAAACAATACTCTACCACTATTAATAATACTATTACAAAGCAAGAAGCCAAGGATTACTTACCTGCTAACCAAGCAGATTAATAAATTCAAAGCAGGAACCCTCTCATCATCTTTGTTGTCCTAAAAAAAAAAAAAAAGAAGCCACATGTGGCAGAACTCAAAATGCAGTCTGTTCCCCACAATATCTTTGAAACAAATTTCCTTTTAAGATGCAAAACATGTAATTTTCATTAGATGATAATAAGAATCACATAGAAATAGGAAACCTCAAAGAAAAAGGAGAAAACTGTAGAGTTAACGATCCCTCAACAAATATTTAAGATCATCTTTTAAAGAAATATCCTGAACAGAAAAAAGAAATAAGAATTGAGGGATCTAAGGAGGATAACTTGGGAGAATTTTTTTCCCCTAGTTCCAACTAGAGCAGCAAGAAAAGCCTGTGCCCTAACTGGACAGTAATGAAAAGAGTGTATAAAACTATTTTAAGGAACTTACAACTGAGAAGGAGTGAAATCTTGGTTTCAGGCATATGACATACCAGAAAATATTCCAGATCAGGGCTCTCAATTATGTTGAAGGTAGTTCCTGAACTATACATTTTAGAAAGTTCACTTTAAATATCTGTTAAAATGACAGACCTAAGATACATGGAAATAGAATTATAGAGTATGAAATTTATTTTTTACTTTTCAAGGAATAGTCACAATAATCTATTGAGTAATGTTATAACAGACATGTCATATATTAATTCAAACTTGGGATACATGTCCATGATGTTACTGTACTCAGTTCTTCGATGTGCAAAGCACTATATGGTACAAAGCTGAATAAAACATATTACCTGCTAATAGCACAGAAGATGACATATCCACATATTAGCTTTAATGAAAGGAAAAATGTGTGAAGTGTCATAAAAAACATACAAAGTATACTGGGAAAACAGGATGGAGAGATTCTTTTTAGTTGTTAGGATAAGGGAAAGTATAGAAAATAGTGGAATGGGAGCCAAACTGTGAAAAGTAAATGGTATCTACATGCAGACTGGAAGAGAGGAAAAAGGCTCTTCTGCAGAGGGAATAATGTAGGATCAAAGCATAGGAAATATTTAGTGAGTAGCAAGTACATTTTGCTTGGAGTACAGGCCATCTAAGTTAGTTTGGGCCATACCATGGTTGTTTAATGAAAAGAAAGCCGAAATGCTAATTTGAAAAAATACATGCACCCCTATGTTTACTGCAGCGCTATTCACAACAGCCAAGATATGGAAGCAACCAAAATCCCCATCAATAGACTGGATAAAGAAACTGTGGTATATATATATATGTAATGGAGTATTACTCTGCCATAGTAAAGAATGAAATCTTACCATTTGCAACAACATGAATGGACCTAGAGAATATTATGCTAAGTGAAATTAGACTGAGAAAGACAAATACCATGATTTCACTTATATGTGGAATCTAAAGAACAGAATAAACAAAACAGAAATAGACTCAGAGATACAGAGAACAAAAATGGTTATTAGATGGGAGGGGTCGGGGGACGGGGTGAGAAAGGTGAAGGGATTAAGAAGTACAAATTGGTAGTCACAAAATAGTCACAGGAATGTGAAATACTGTATGGGGAACATAGTCAATAATGTTGCAAAAAGTATGTATAATGTCAGGTGGGTACTTGACTTATTGGGGGATCACTTCATAAATTATACAAATGCCTAACCACTGCAGTGTATACCTGAAACTAATATAAAATAATCATGAATGTCAACTATAATAAAAAAAAATATGTAGTCATGGAATATAAAGTACAACATAGGGAATATGGTCAATAGTATTTTACAATAATAGCTATGTATGGTGTCAAGTGAATAGTAGACTTGATGGGGCTATCACTTTGTGAGGTGTGTAAATGTCTAATCATTATGTTGTTTTATACACCCTAACTAATAATAAAAAAAGAAAAAAAAGTACTTTGGAGTAGTCAACGGAGAACAAGAAGTATACATTTTGCAGAGGGGAAACGGATGGAAAAAAAAAATCAGAAATGGGCTTACCCTGGCTTTAATTTACATATATTGTAATGTTGCAGGTATGAGTTGGAGGAAGGGTCTGATTGGAGACATTCAAAACAATCATTGGGCCAGAGACTACTAGTTGACCACTCCAGCTTTCTGTCTTCCCTACTATTTAACAACTGAAGCTCATTTTTAGCTGGGCACTGCCACCCAGCTAAAAGTAAACATTTCCCATAATTTCTTATGGCCATGTGACTAAATTCTGGCCAAGGAGCTACAGAAAGCCAGATGTGCAGTGGAATCTCTGGGAAGGCTCTTTAAAGGAGAGAGCCTTCTCTTCTTCTTTCCAAGGGCCTATGAAATAAAACAGCAGAAACTCCAGCAGCCACCTTGGATGGTGGGGTGAGCTAGAGGATGGAAGCCACATGTGGCAGGACTCAAAAGCCTGGGTAACTGCCATCTTAAATCTGATCAGCCTACCTTCAGACTTTCTGTATCTGAGAAAAATTTCCATTTTATTTAAGCTACTGTTATTTTAGGCTTTCTATTATGTAGCCAAAAGGAATTCTGACTAATAAAATTTTCTTATTTCATTGGAATCCTTCTTTATCACCATATTGCAACTTACCACTAAGAGCCTCACTTCAGAGCACCTTCTTGCAAGCTGCCGAATCAGTGAGTGAGCCTCAGGTAATAAAGGTTTTTCAAGACAAGCCAATAAAGCATAAAGCCATCTCCCCTAAATAGAATTTAAAAAAGTAGTAAGTAGGCAAACATTGTACCATATGTTTTAACTTATTTTTTTAAATGTCCAATGTTGTGTCTGATTATTTGCTATGAACATTCACAGAACATTTGGCTGTATGTTTGGATACAGACAAAAAAGCCAGGTGATATCTTTTGTATCTTCTAACTATAGATACAGAACATTAGATACTTCAAAATATTTTTACTGCCAAAGAGTTCATTTTGGAGATTCTTATTACAATTTAAGCCCTAATTCATAGGTAGAAAACTACATTAAGATCTGTATAAATCCTTGTAAAAATTAAGATACATTGTTTTCTTTGCTCTCTATAGACAGGTATACAAATCATTTTATAATTTTATAACTTTTTCCCAGGATCTATACAAAGGAATTGTTTTGATACTATAAATACCATGGCAAGCTAAATTTATCCCTATCCCCTTTTAAAAGGGGTTTTTCTTTTCAATTACAAAAGTAATATATACTTAATGCAGAAAAACTAAGGAATACACAAAAGACAAAGGAAAAATGAACCTGCAATTCCACCATCCAGATAAACTTTCTGCTAATTTTTTAAAAGCTCTATGTCTATTTAAAAACAGTTTCATCACTGTAATAATATTAATAAGGTAACACTTTGTAGTCCCACATAATAAACATTTCCCATGATGTTAAATTTGATTAACAAGAGATGTTAGTTTCAACATGGCGCTTATATAAATACTACTCTTTAACCAAGCACTTATCATACTTTCCTATCGCTGCTGGTTTATTCTTTCTTTACCCAAATTCTGTGAGAGTATAATGATAGATATTATGCCCCCAGAAACCAGTCTAGAGTTAAAACACAAAAGGAGCTTAATTAAAATATTTATGGAATGAATGTTCCATTGTGGATATACCATAATTTACTTAACCAATTTCCTATTGTTGAGCACTTAGGATGTTTAATTTGTTGCTGTTATAATAAAAAAATAGTGTGATAAATATTCTTGAACATAAGTTTTAGAGCATCTCTGATTTCTTGGGCTAAATTCTTAAGACATGAAATGGTGGTGTCAAAGGGTACATATGATCATAAAAGTTTCTGAGATATAATCACTAAATTGTACCTCAGAAACATTATATCAAATTATATTTTCATCAACAGTGTATATGACTGAGTTTATTACTTTGGATATCACTTTGGAGAAACCTGAAGACTATTAGAACAAACTTTAAATAACAATTTATACAAAACACAAAGTTAGGTCCTCAAGGAACCACACAAGTCTTCTTAAACAAAAGATCCACATCCAGGTTTCTTTTACAAATAGGGAGCAAAACTTTCTTCTACATTAAAAAAGCTATTAGACATTTCAGCTTGACTCAAATTTTCAGGTATACATTTACTATGTAAAACTAGTATTCAGGCATTCAAATGGTCTTCCACTTAGAAACTGCTTAAACCTCTACTGATATCTATGATGTATCTATGCTGCAAGGTTCCCTTTCCTCAAAGTTAGTGAGTACATTGTGACAATACCAAACGATAAAAGCAAAATACAAAACCAGAGGCCAAAAGCTTCTTTAATAGCTTCACGCTTGGATGATAATAGGCTATACTTTTCAAAAAACAGACAAGTAATACCAAGTAATTTTTAAAAGGTCCCTTTTTCATTTTGCTAGTTTATGATATGCAAACTGCCTGTGACAAAGGTTTTTACTTTAAAACACTAACATTCTCAATACTAGAGTTCTGATGGTACAGTTACATGGATAGGGAATTCAATACTGTTGATCTAAGAGACAAATTACTCAAATTAAGACTCAAAGAATTAATCAGGTTAAAATTTAGTAAATCAGTTGTTAGTAGTTCAGAAACACATTAATGGTTCCTCTGGCAAATATAGCTACACTTTTTAGTAATATGCTTTCATTAATTAATAAGAAAAGCCAAACATCATCCTCTTGAGTAATCTTTGTAAGTTTTTTAAAAATCCAAAAAATCTTACAATAAAGAGTTAAAAATGAATGTTAAAGGAAGAGAAAGAAAACAGATCAGATAAATAATACTGATAAATGGTCACTATCAGACAGAAAGAACTGATCTAAAATTTAAAGTTCAATATCTAGATTCCAGTGAATTAAGTAGCCTAAGAATATGAATAAGTTATCTATTGAAGATATAGCTAATATACCAATGCATGGGAAAAACATTGTTTCACTGATATTGAAACAAATGTAAATTACATTTACTTTGAAGTACTACTATAAATTCACTACATAAAATGTTAGATTGAACCATATGGAATTACTGATAATCAAATGTTTTTAACCTACAGAAATGGCCATTTCATATGGTTCTACTTTAGACTGCAGGGAAGAGAACTAATTTTAAGCATCCATTGCTGATGCATTATAAACTCATTCATTTCTTCTGAAAGCAATCTGGCAGAATGTAACAAAGGTTTATAAGTCCTTGATCTAATAATTCTACTCTAGAAATATCCTAAGAAATTAGTATAAATGCTTATCATTTAGTCATGATTATAAAATATAAGAAAGAACCCAAATGGTCAATAATGAGAGAATCAAAGTAAACTATTAGATATTAGGACAATGGCAATTGTGTGAATTCCATTATCATATAGAAATATATATATATATATATATATATATATATATATATATGAAATATGAGCCAGAAAAACTAGACTATATACATTAATTATAACTATGTAAAAGATACATACGATCACTGAACTAGAAACGGTGATCTAAACATGAATTTTTTTCCCCTTAAAAAGTATGTTATATAGTAGAGACTTAAAAGAAAAAAAATATAAAAATCTAAACTGAAAATGGTGATAAAGAATATGGGGGGCCGGCCGAGTGGCTCAGTTGGTTAAGAGCTCGCTCAAGAGTTTGAGCTCTGAGCAATAGCTTCGAGTCCCTGCCCGAGCTAGCTGTCAACAGGTGGCAGGATGGCTCAGCTTAAAAAAAAAAAAAAAAGAATACGGGCATTCTACTTATGGAAGAGCCTTCTCTAAGCCACTTGTTTGAATGGCAGGCTGGGAGTCTTACACATTGTACTGCAGTGCTGGTTTATCTACTTCTCCCAGCTGACAATAAGCTTCTGGAGGGCAGAGATTACATCTTATGCTTTCACAGGGAGCGTTGGAGCCTCAGATACACTCTTTTGCAAACACACTCAAATGTGAAAAATATTTGTTTCCAAAAATTGAATCCAACTTTAGATGATAAAACTTCTTATTAGGGGATTAAGTAGATAATTTATTTATATAATGTCCACCCATATTATCCAGTTTTGAAGGTGAAAAAAAAGCTGTGACTATAAAGCAATACAACAGAGGGGCAGTGTAGCTTGCGTGTTAAAGAATATAGTCAGATTGCCTGGGCATGAGTCGCAGCTCTGCCAGTTACAATCTGTGTGACCTTATGCAAGTTACTGAATCCCTATGTGCTCCAGTTTCTTTATCTGTAAAGTGGAAATAATTAGTTCATAGGTTATTAGAGGATTCAAGGAGTTATATTCAAAGTCCTGAGAACAATGCCTGACACAAAGTGCTTGCTATTATTATTTCTGATATGCTTTTGTGAATCAGATTTCAAGGCCATTTTAGAAAATGCATTTCAAACTTCTTTAAGCCAATGATACTCAAAATGGGGTCTGCATATTGCCTGCCAGTCTGTGACCTGTTTGTTACTAGTCTGCAATGAGATAAACAGCTTGTCCCAGGATAGAAATCAACTGTTTATGTGACACTTTTTTCCCCAAAGCAAAACTTTCTCAGTGAAGTGCTATGTTGATTTATGTTCTTGTATAAATTCCTAATTTCACTGGAAATAAACATCATTTGCATTATACATAGTTAAACATATACACACATAATACATACATATCTATAAATACTGTAGAGTCATATCTCAAAAAAGCATGTAAGTATATATAACTTTGTCTTCATTATGAAAATAAAAAAATGTAATACTACCAATTCTGGAGTAAAGTCTCTTTCTCTAAACCAATTACTCAGATATTCCAAGACACTGGTTACTGTTGCCTAAAAAAAGGGGAAGGAGGTAAAAGAAATGCATTAGTAATAAAATACTGACCAATTCAACAAAGGTTTCATAAGTTTAGTTACAAAGCAACTCTGATGTTTGAAATGGCCCAATTCTTTAGACTTCCAGAGCAAACTGTTACTTCTTGTAATTTGATTAGATGGTTCATCAAGTGAGAAGAGGATTTTAAGACAAATATTTTTATACATTTTCAAGTATCAATAACTTAGTTTAAATCCTAGGATTTAGTTTGAAGCTATTAATTTAGTTTATAACTACTTGAAGAATTCCATGTGCTCTTAAAAGTCTTTGCATAAATACCTTCAGATTATTTTCATTAAAACAAAGTACAAATATAAAGAGGAAGTTAGCTAGAGAAAGATCTGTTTTAAAACTATACAACTAGAATTTATCAAATCATTGAAAATGTTCCTGGCTTATTCAAATATAGTTGGACACTTAAAAAAAAACAAATGCTCTTATCAAATTTAGTATGACCATTATAGTTACCTTAATGCAAATGATCAAGTAAGTGAAACTGTCAGCCAGTGTATGATTTACAAGAGTATCACACACACAAAAAAAGGTATTTTCCAATGCTTCCTGAAGACAAAAACCACCAAAGTTTTTATTTGCTCTTTAAACAGATAACAGAGTTCCTAATACTAAAAAACTGTACCAAGTCCATTATTTCTCCGCTTTTACCCAAGAAATTTATGTAGTACTTAAGTTCTGGGGGAGTCAAAAGTTACATATGGATGTTTGACTGTGTGGGGGTCAGCGTCCCTCTGCTCCGTGTTGTTCATGGCTCACTGCACTTCATTCTTAATGAGATATGTAGGATATCTGGAACTAGGAATAGCGATCTAACCTTAGTATTTACTTCAAACTCCAGAATCTTAAGACTTAGAACTGACAAGTACACAACTAAATAGTTTAGGACCATGATGAAGAGCATCAGTTTTAGAATTAGGTCAACCTGGGATTGTTCCCAGTGTTGCCATTAAAACTTGCTGAAAAACTACCTGCAAGTTACTTAACCTCTAGCTTTACTTCCTGATCTCTAAAAAAAGGATATTAACTGTCTATATAGGGTTGCAGTAAGGATTAAATAAGAACTGTTAATGAGCTTAGGACAGGGTCTTGCATGCTGTAAATACTCAGTAAATGTATTCAAATACTTTCACACACATTGCAAACAAAAGAATGCATATGTTCTTATTATTGGATGGATTTTACCTGATTCATTCTGCTAACAATACTAAGCAAGGGAGGAAAACCAATCTGAAAGAAAAATGAAATTGAAATTTACTAGATGGTATTATTAAGGGAAGGGCTTCATTTTTTCTTTTGTCAAATGTGAATTTCTCATCACACTGTTATTTAGAAACAAAGAATGGAGGAATCAAAATTCCGTCACTGCCCATTACAATAAAATGTTCCACGAACTATTATTACATTGGTAATGGCCAAGAAAATAGTGCTTGAAATTTGAATGTGTAAATTTAAAAACAAAGAATGATTTTAGTAATTAAAATGTTAAAGTATGAAATTTAAAAAAATGATACTGATACTACTGATGCTATGACATTAATGTGTAATCCTTTTTCGAAAATCTTCAGCAAAAGCTAACATTTTCAGGAATTAGGGCATTTGGATTAGAATGATGTTTTTCAAATCTAATCTGATTCAATTTTTACAAAGCTACTTGGCGTTTAATGTTGGGAGCCTTGATTATGAAAATAGTAATAGCTTGTGAGAAACTTAAGAATATTGCATATGCATTAAACTCTTGCATCTTTACATGGTTCTATCATGTGGTATATGTTACTTGTATATATTTTGTAACAACAAGCTAAATTAAATAAATAAATTTTAAATCTCGATTAAATTAAAACACATTTTTGAAATGTAACATACATTAGGGATTATCCCAAAAGTAAAATAGGTTGTATAAGAAACAGTGCCAAATTAGCTCCCCTAGAGATCTGAATCAATTTCCACTCCCCCTACCTGTGTAATGGTGCCTGTTTTCCCAGCCCCTATCAACATAGTATATAGGGCTTTCTTTGCCAACATAGTACCTGAAAAAAATAGCAGTTTAGTGTAGCTATGTTACATTTCCATTACAAGTGAGTTTGTGTATCTTCTTATATAAGTACAATTTGTATTTCCTTTCTGTGAGATGTCTATTCATATCCTTTGACTGTTTTTGTTTTTTTAATTTAATTGGATTCTTGGTCTTTTTAGTGATTTTTCGAGCTTTTACCCTTTTGGGATAAGTTAGTTTTAAATAGGGAAAACACAATGTGCTACCACATAGCAAACAATAAATACCTATTCAACAGAACAGAACAACATAACATAGGAAGTTAGCAGTAATGCAAATGTATGCAGGAAGTTCCATACAAACACCTGAAACTTGATGGCACACGAATATTGAAGGACAATAAGGAGTTGCCTGTATAATTTATGATTAAAATAAAGCCATGTGAAATTTAAATATACACTCAACATTTCATCCCCAAAATATGCAATTTACTAAGCGTTTTTAAGTAGCTCTCCAATTTCATGTTTTCCTATTTCCCTGACTACTCATCCCTCATTGTTCAACCCATGCCTAATCATGAAACAAAAAAACAAATCCTATCTAACTCACAAAACTATTGCACAGCTTAAACATAAGAGATGTGAAGCCAATCTAAAAAAAGTCATAGTACATTGTTTTAGATACTGGGCTGACAATTTTTAAGTTAAAGAGCTAATAAACTAAGTCAGGGTTGGCAAACATTTTCTGTAAACCATGAAACTAAATAATTCAGGCCACACACTGTCTTATTAGTCACATATTGTTAGTTTTTTAGGCTTTAAAAAACATGAAAAACCATCCTTTGCTCAGGAGCTGCACAAAAACAGGCTGAGGGCTGGATTTGGCCCAGGCCATAGTTTGCTGACACTTTATACTAAATGATGCACCAACATTAGGATACTTTCTATTTTGTTTATCCACTTATCACCTACTTGTATATAATCTATTCCAGGACTTTCGTTTTTAGCTGGTCCAACAGCCCCTTCAACACATAGCCTTTCACCCAGACAAAATTTTTTCCAGCCTT